AGTTTGTACAGTTTTCATTGCTTTACAAGAATATGGGTAAGACAACATCTCATTGTACTACATTACCGAATCTCGACTCTTCCTCTTACATCAATACCGATTAAAGACCAAGAACATGGTGACACCCATATCTCGGTAATCAGAAGGTATTAACCCAAACCCAATACAGATATAGATCCGTCGCGAGAAGCTCTACAAAACCTGATATATAGCTTTCTGCTTCAACATAATTTTGAAAACCGGCAGGGTCCTTTAAGGCACTGCTCACACCTCCCTTCGGTCGGCGTTCGTACCCACAATAAGATAAAACGCTTTCTGCTTTCTGTATTAATCCGGTGATGTATTGTTGCATTCCTTCATTCCTGCCTTTCTGTATTCCTGCCAGCCTGTATTCCTGTTTTTCTCAGTACTATACCAAGTTAGAAATCATCGGACAACAAAAGTTCGCTTGAATTTCACATCATATCGCGATGTTCGAAACATTTTAGATCCTGGCTGCCCGCGTTTGTGCATACAATTAAATCATACAGAATACGCGGTAAACATATATCCGACACAGGTCCGTTAACCAAACAGGAGCTGTTGGAGGCACGTACAGTAGAAAATATTGATGTTTTCGAAGCAATTCAGTCGGATGAGGCAACAGCAAGTGAACATAATGTTCAGTCCGTGTCAGCTGGTGGTGCAGAAACATCGATGCTTTCTAACGTCGAAGAATAGCTAACAAAATTTACTGATACTCTGAAAGAAAAAGTTCAACGGTTAACGTGCTTGATAGTGCATGCGAAAAATGATTTCGAAAATAAAGTCTTTGCTCAGTTCAACTTAACTGAATTTAGCAGCAGCGAAAAAAAGAACAGAATTTTGGTGCATACATTGAACCGCGAAATGAAATTGCTTACAAACGAACTAGGAGAAACTGTAGTGAAAAGTTGCATGACTAAACTGAATGTCAAAAATGTGCTAAAATCCGTTCTTTCTGTTCTCGTCTCGTTTATGATGTCACAACTGGTCGGTCAGCTTTGATACTGAGTTATCGTTCTTCTAATAAACAAGCAAACAGAAAGAACATCCTTTTTAAATGACGTTAAATTTAGAAAAAATCTTGACATCATTAGCACAGATGATATATTCCTAAGTCATTAAACTTGATGGTGGTTTATCATCAAATAGCTTTTTAACCAAATCATTTCCGCTGTTATTTGCATGTACATACAGCGGTAGTATGATCGGTACCGTTCAGCTTTGATGTAGCTGCACGGATGATCAATAATTCGAAAGTAACCGATATTTATAGTGTTCTGTTGTAAAATTTTAAAACCATTAACTGTATCAGGTGTCCCGTTGAGGAGTAGTGTTTCGCAATAGCTGATTTAACAATGTGTTGCTCTGTAGACTTCTCATTGTCTGTATCATCCTGCGTCACAACGAGATCATCAATTCCACTTTGATCTATTTTTGCGATAGAAGAAGGTAGCTTAAGCTCCTCTAAAACTGGTCATTACTGGTAATGACCAGTTTTACATCGTGTGATTACAATGTTGACGAATGATTATTGGCTGAGGTTTGTGCAGTTTACTGAGCCGAGCACGAGAATGTGAGCGAGCTAGATGATAACAATTTATTTTGAGCGCTTCAGTGTTCTTTATTGCGTGTTGTTAGATGGCGACACGTTTTTCCGTCATATTTTTCACCACAAATGGGGCAAGCGACTTCATAAACAACTTTTTTTGGAAAGAAAGTTCTACTTTCTGTTTCTTATGTATATAAGGAAAGCAGAAATATCATCCAGCTTTAGCTGCTGTTATTGTTGTAAGACTAAGTTTGAGAATAGCCGTTTAAGGTCGAAATATCGCAAAAAAAAAGCTTAAATCATTAAAATCAGCTGCAATTATTGTACAATTTACTCTATATCTCATATCATCAAAATTATTTATTTAAGTTTATTTCTGGTGTAGGGCTTTCATCATGAGTGAGTTTTACCATTTAGTTATATGGAACAGTATAACGTTGAATACATCGACTATCGAACTAACAAAAGCGATACCTGCATTCGAAAGGGATCCATACAAAAAAGAGTCAAAAACTTTAAAGGTTGAAAACGTCGCGTATCACTTCTTCTCTTTGGGACTTCCAAGCTGTTTGAAGAAAGTTAGTCGTACGTCAGTCACAAAATGAAGGACATCTGTTTGAATATCATCTATTCTTTGCTCTTAGTGACCATCATTGCACTAAACGATACAACGTCAACGTAAACGCATGAAATCATTCAGCCGAAGCCAGATGGGGATAATTACTGTCACTTTATAAATAAATCATAGTTATGTCGGTGATCCTTACACGTGAGCAAATGTTTTATTCAAATACCCTTTTTTTTCTTGCCACTTTGAATAAAAAATCTGTTTAGCATCCGATGCAGAAAGATTTAGCCTTACTCACAAAGAAGACATATTCAATTAAACACTAACGCCGCCAAAGCAACATAATTCTAGATTGATAAATGTAACCGGTTCACAGTGGGCAACCACGTGGACATCATGTAAAAAAACGAAAGCGAAATTTTTCAAGATTCGGATAGCAGGTCATAATACCCTAACAATTTATGCTATTGGCACAGCAAATTTTCTCAGTGCCATAGTTAGTGAGAAAATCGAGCAATCGAAAAACAGAGCAATGAAGATCAAAAAACAATTTTAAGCAAAGTAGAATACAATATTTATAAAAATCATATATTGTCTGAAAGTAGACATTTCACTCTACCTACTGGAAAAAATTCTTTTCCGCTGGACGCGTCGCAATCGAAAAAATAATTCTTCTTGCTAGGCTACGGATTTTCCAACGAGCGGTCCTGGATACAGTAAGTGCGAGCAGTTTAGCATAGCTTCAGGTCGGACGAAACTTTCACAGAATCTTCTGTTACTAGCGATACATCTATGCTGTTAGCGTAAATTAGCGTAAGCGTTTCTGGACTGAGTTACAGGTTTTCCAAAACACCTTGGATTTTCCGATAAAATCCATTTTTCTCACCCCAGAAGCACTTTCATTAAAAAATAATGATATATTTCGAATCTGCGTTCTGAACTGCATCGACTGATAGTGTCAGTTGTATGTTTTTGTGCCAAAAAAATCGTTCCATTTAGTGAAACGGTAGATTTGCAGCATTGCCCTAGCAATTTTGGCTAGTTACTGGGATGTTTTATTTAGAAGCATTTGAAAGATTTTCATAGGTTTTCGGATATCCTCTTTCCAATGGCGTGATTTACAAAAGTTGAAAAACACTTTTAGTCGGGTTTTCCAGAGACTGAATCTCTAGAAAATTATCTTTGAACTTGTAACTTCGTATCACTTTTATGGCACATGTCCACGTGCCTAGTCAAAATTGTCCACTGTGCGGCTCCCACGAGATTACTGTTGCTTTTAAAAACGCTACTCAGATAAAACAAACCGTATACGATCGTACTTGAATCAGACAAAGTCGTATCAACTCGTATGAAAATCATATACGAATCGTGGTATCTAATTTGTCCACTGGATCGTATAATACGATCGTACAGCATCATTTACGATTATACAACTTTGTATGAAATCGTGTAGTACAAACCAGATGATAGATCAGATACCACGATCCGTATATAAATCGTGCATAAGCGTATATGATTTCGTACGATCCGTACGATCTTGTACAATCGGATAGTACGATTGAATCACCTGGGTGATGTGCTAGTGTCGCATTTTCCCAATTGAATTATGCGAAGAACCTTGTAACATATCTATCAAATGTGCGAGTATAGTTCTCATCTAACTTTCTTGTGTATCCTGATGAGTTAAGAAATCGCACTCAGAAAAAAGAAATTTTGAAAAAAATTCAATATTGTGCTAAGCACGTTATTGGATAGTCCAAAATGTCTGCTGTCAGAATCCATAATAGTAAGACCATCATCCAAGGTTTCTGCAGGTTTTGTAGAATGTTCTCGAAAGTCCTGAAAAACTGATTGTTCTACTAACTATGTGTTATCAATCAAAATCGAGAGAAAAGTAGTTCTAAAGTCGCTAAGTTGTAGAGGTAACAGTTCTGATCAAATTATGAGGTCTCCTACCTCTAGCCAATGTTTCAACCAAAAGTTATAAGATTTTTCTTCGAAGCCCTAAAATATGTATCTTACCCTAGCGCCACTTCATGTGAAAAGCGAACCTTGCGTTCATACGACTTCATAGCTGCAGGATCTCTTGTTAACAAAGCATCTCGGAAAGCTCGAATTGACCTTAAAATGTGGCTAGCATACGTGGCTAGAGGCTAATAGAGCCCGATTTTTGATATTCAGTCTAGATTTGTGGTTAGAAAAACATATTTGAGCAAGTTAATGAGACTTTTTTTTGGCTGATCATTATTTTGAAAAGTAAAATTTTCCATCGAAATTTTAGTAAATCAAACTTTGTTCATCTCAGAAGAAAGATGTACAGAATTGTACGCTGTGATCGAAACTGTTGCATGCCTAGTCAAAGCATATAACATGTTTCAAGTCATTCTTTACATTTTATAGAAGTAAGAAAAAAGAGAACATTCCTTGTTCTTCGAATAGGAAGCAATTAGGCTTTCAGAAGGCAAGAGTTTATTTCCGTTGACTGGAAGTAAACACTGAGCGATCGAAAATGGCCATTTCGCTTTGTCATCATAGGAATCTTGGTGTGCACTAATGTTATCGGGATACTTCGAGTATCGTTGCACTACTACCATACTGGCTTTGTAGTTGTTCCAGCGTGCGCTGATGATGGAACCAATCTGTACTGGTTATTTTCTTTTCATTGAAAGATCGCTGTCAGAGAATACGAAAGCAAAAGAAAAAAAGATTCATTGTTTTCTGGTGACGTTTTAGATGGATGATACCTTGCTGGTACTATGAGAACTGTTAATTATATCAAAATTATTGCGATCATTACGATTTGTTTAATCTTAATATTTTCAAAATATTTTTTACATAAAAGTAATTTGAAATTTAACATCACCGATCTGAATGATTTTTTATATATTATGAAAAAAGATAATCACAGTTTAACAAAACGAATTAATCAAATATTGAAAAATAAAATTGTCAATTACACTGAATTATTACCGTTTCCAGACAAAAATGACAGTACAACATCTAGCAAAATGTCAAGAATATGTATTCTAAATGTAGATACAAGACCACTAGAACGATTTTCAACTATTAAAAATATAAATCGGATGACATATTATTCAGTGTCAAGTTATAATAATTTACTTTATGGTAAGCTACGCTTTTAACGCGTAAAAAAGCTTTGAGTAAATAGTTTTATTGTTTAATTGATGTCTTTCCTACATTTTGTAATTTCTTCATACTGGATTGAATGACGAAGAAATTGAGGACGATTGGCTGCTGCTACACAGTGGGCATTTAGGCGGCGTTTTCTGAAAAAATCGTAGGTGCGAATTTTTTTGTTTTGAATAGTGGTGTATATAGTATAAACAATTCCCTATTTAATGATAAAAAAATTTTTGTTCTAGCTC